ATGTAAGACTGATCACCCTCCTGACACTGAACAACATACACAACATTACTCTGTTTGTGCTTGGTGACTGGATCTTTGGGATGAACCAGTCTTTAATGTATTTTGGGGTTTAAAAGCCACTGGGACGTTATGTTTAGAAAATAAACGTCTCAGTTTCTCTGAAACTCCCTCAACATATGGAATGACCACTGGTCTGGGTCTGGGTTCCTCCTTTTCACCTGATGCTGACTGGAGTCCTGTTTGGGTTTCTTCTCTGCTTTCAGGAAGGCCCAGTTAGGATATCCACATTGCTCCAGAGACTGTCTTGTGTGGGATTTCTCCTTCTGCCTGGCTCTCGAGTTAGTGGGGACGCTGTCTGCTCTGTGGTACAGAGTCCTGATGACTCCTAACTTGTGCTCCAAAGGGTGATGGGAGTCAAACTGCAAATACTGGTCTGTGTGGGTTTGTTCGTTCCAGAAAGACTATCATGAGAAAGTTATGACACTCCTTAGTTACAACCACTTTTGAGCCACTGAAAAGAAATCCAGGAAGTGGCTACAAGAAGAATTTGATATATTGCCTGAAAATTTTGGAGCAGGACAAGACTAGTGACCATATTCTGTACCAAAGACTGTACCCAGGGAAGGCCACACCTAATAATAATAATAATAATAATCATTTTATTTAAAAAGCGCCTTTCATGACACCCAAGGACACTTTACAGTAAGAACAAAGATCAACAGGAATAAAGAATATAAAATACATAAAGAATATAAAATACATAAAGAATATAAAATACATACAGCAGAGTTAAGGATAAGCGAGTCTAAAGAGATGTGTTTTCAGAGCAGTCTTGAATAGAGAAAGAGAGGTGGTGTTTCTTAAGTCAGGGGGCAGAGAGTTCCAGAGATGAGGGCAGAGCAGGTGAAGGCCCTGCTCCCCATGGTGGAGAGGCGGGCAGAGGGTACATGGAGGTGGAGTGAAGAGGAGGATCTGAGAGAGCGAGAGGGGATGGAGATGTGTAGGAGGTCAGATAGGTACGGAGGGGCAAGGTTGTGGAGAGCTTTGAAAGTGAGAAGTAGAATTTTGAAGATGATGCGTGATTTAACCGGGAGCCAGTGGAGCTGCTGCAGGACTGGAGTGATGTGGTTATAGGAGGAGGTTTGAGTTATGACATGGGCAGCTGAGTTCTGGACCAATTGTAGCTTCTGGAGAGATTTGTTGGGGAGGCCATAAAGAAGGGAGTTGCAGTAGTCAATCTGAGAAGTCACAAGACTGTGAACAAGGATGGCTGTGGAGCGGGGTGTGAGAGAAGGGCGGAGACGGTTAATATTTCTGAGATGGAAATAGGCAGACCAAGTGACGTTGTTGATGTGTGAAGTGAAGGAGAGAGTGGCGTCGAGGATGACACCAAGACTCTTGACCTGAGGCGAGGGGGATAGCAGAGAGTTGTTAAGGGGGATGAGAAGATTTTCTGATTTTGAAAGAGAGTTTTTGGTACCGACAAGAATGATTTCTGTTTTGTTACTGTTTAGTTGTAGGAAATTGTTAGAAAACCAGTGATTTAGCTCATTGAGACAGTCGGTGAGGATGGAGGGTGGGTGGGTGGAGTTTGGTTTTGTTGACAAGTAGAGCTGTGTGTCATCAGCATAACAGTGAAAATGGACACCAAATTTACGGAAGATGTGACCTAGAGGAAGGAGGTAAATGATGAAGAGGAGGGGTCCGAGGACAGAGCCTTGGGGGACACCCGTGGAGACGGGGGAAGAGTGGGAACGAAAGGATTTGAGCTGAATGAATTGAGTGCGGTCAGGGAGAGTCTGTATGGTTTACCTAAAATCCACAACCAAGGTGTACTTTTAAGACAAAGGTGGTCACTCTTTCAGGGATGAAGATGTTCACATCCTAAATAGAGAGGGACGATGGTTTGAGAGAGGAGTAAAGGAGGCCATCTTTGTGAAAAGAAACCGTCCATCATTAAACAGGGGTGGAACCTCCATGTTCAACTGTCCCCCTCTTACAATGCTGTGATTGCTAGTATCACTCAGCCCTCTGTGAATAGTAAACAGCCATCAGGTGCTAATGATCCATTGTTAAGCTGATGGTCCTTCTTGATCATGTGGGTACCAAAACTGTTCAATACACCCACGTGTACCCTTACACCCCTTATATATATATATATATATATATATATATATATATATATATATATACACAAAGGATATAGACCCTTTCCAAAAAATTAGAATATCATGGAAAAGTTGTTTAATTTCCATAATTCCATTCAAAAAGTTCATCTTTAATAGATGATAGATTCAGGGCCCACAATTTAAACAATTTCAATATTTATTTGTTTATTTTTACATAATTTGAGCTTCCAGCTCATGAAACCCAAGAAAACAGGATTACAGAAAATTAGAATACTGTGCTGACATCAGCCCACACTACTTCTCAGTTTTTGCAGAAAAAAAGAGAAATTAGGATCACAACAAATCAATCAAAATATGGTACTTTCAAAATGATATGTCAATCTTCAATAATTGGTTGGGAATCCCTTTGTCTTAATCACTGCCTCGATGTGACGTGGCGTTGAGACAATCAGCCTGTGGCATTGACTGGGAGTTACGGAAGCCCAGATTTCCTTGATGCTTGCCATCAGCTCTTCTTTGTTGTTGGGTCTGGTGCCCCTCATTTTTTTACTTGAAAATACCCCATAGATTCTCCATGGGGTTTAGGTCCAGCGAGTTGGCTGGCCAGTCAAGCACTGTGGCATGGACATCAAACCGGGTTTTGGTGCTTCTGGCAGCATGGGCAGGGGCCAGGTACTGCTGGAAGAAGAAATCTGCATATCCATACAGATCCTCAGCAGAAGAAATAATGAAGTCCTCTAAAACATTCTGGTAGACTGTTGCTGTGACCTTGGATTTAAGAAAGAAGAGTTTAACAAAAAGTTCCATACTCCGTAATCCAGATATACAATCCAACAATTTCCAGTCAGGTCATCTGGACAGTTTCTTTTTTTGCTGAAAAGTTTCCGGATGGAAGGTGAAACGTTTCAGCAAAAAAAAGAAGAAACTGTCCAGATGATCTGACTGAAAATTGTTGGAAAGCAAAGTTTATCAACACCTGCACCGGACACTGTACCCCAGATCATGACAGACTGTGGATATTTCACACTGGACCTCAAGCAGTATGGGTTCTGTTCCTCACCCTTCTTCCTCCAAACACTTTGACCTTGATTTCTGAATGAAAGTCACACTTTACTTTCATCAGAAAAGAGGACCGAGGAACCCGACAGTTGTAGTCCATCTCCCAGATGTGTCTGAATGTGGTGGTTTTCGAAGCTGTGACTCCCGCCTCATTCCACTCTTTCTGGATCTCTGCCAGATTCTGGAATCTTCTCTGTTTGATAATCTGCTGAAGCCCACGCTCATCTCTTTTGCTGGTGCATCTTCTCCTGCCACATGTTGCCCTTCCAATAGACTTTCCATTGATATGCTTGGACACAGCACTCTGTAAACAGCCAGCCTCCTTAACTATGAACTTTTGTGGCTTACCCATCCTATGGAGGGCATCAATGATGTTCTTCTGGCCAGTTGTTATGTCTGCAGTCTTCCCCATATTGAATTGAACTGAGACAATTGAACCAAACTGAAGTAATTTAATGACACTTGGAGAAACCTGTACAGGTGCTTTGAGTTTAGTAGATGATTAGTGTGTCACACTCAGTTTAAAACATTCGTGCTCTGCAAAATGTGGGCTGATTTCTTCACAGTATTCTAATTTTATTGAAATCCTGTTTCCATGGGCTTCGTGAGCTGGAAGCTCCAAATTATGTAAAAATAAACAAATAAATACTTGAAATTGTTTAAATTGTGGGCCCTGAATCTATCATCAATTAAAGATTAACTTTTTGAATGGAATTATAGAATTTAAACAACTTTTCCATGATATTCAAATTATTAATATTAATTAATTAATTAATTATTTAATATTCAAATTTTTTGGAAAGGGTCTGTGGGATTTGGCGCTCTCTACTGGTAGGCTATAAATATGACCGGAAACTGAAAATCATCACAGTCTTCCAAACTCTCTGCTGTGGTAAGTTTTACAATCTGGTTCTCTTCTAAAAAACAAAAAAATCTCACAGGACAGTATGTCTGACATTATTGTTCTTATAGATACTTGTGCCAGTAGAGGAGCTGACCGGGCTATGTTTATGATCTGAACCACTCATTTACAGGTAATTAATTGTGTTAAACTAAATGCTCTAAGTTAAGTCAGTTACGTTTACACGTCTGTTGGTTGTCATGACAACACAATGCCTATTATATTTTCTGTGAACCACCAGAGGGTGTTGTAGAGCAATTTAATAATTTATTTTAACTGCTGTTTGAATTTATTTTTCCAATTTCTTATTTAATTGAATAAATGGATGCCAGGTTAAAACAGATTGTATTAGATTTATTGTCAAACATTAACGCTAAAACCACTATACCAACACATGTTAAGAAGAATATTGTTAAAAGTCATTGTAACAGATATTTGAAAATCTTCACAGCTTTCGTAAAACGCTCTGCTGTGATATTTGTGCCAGTAGAGGAGCTGACCACGATAAGTTTGATCTCTGAACTACTTGTTTACAGTAAAGTGCTACCTCATCCTCATATCTCATTGGGGCGGCTGTGGCTGAGTGGTTA